GTATCTATGAAGCGCCTTGAGGCGACATTTGTTGTGATTTGGCGCTATATAAATAAAATTGAATTGAATTGAATTGAATAGTGGAGAACTGAAAGCACAAGAAAATCACAACTGAATGAGTCAGTTTAACTAAAGTTCCTTTCACTATTACTCTGAAATTGAGTGCAAAGCAGTATATATGGAAAACTAACACAGGAAACACCTGACATGCTAAAGCCTCTTTAAAGATGTTCATGTACATCTGGTCACCTTATAATGATCCTGCTGCTCAAGTTTACTTTTAACACATTAACCAGTGAAAAGGTTGTACAGCTTATCCTTTTGTGGACTGAGTAAAGAGGAAATGTATACTGTCTAAGACAGTGTCAAGTGACCATCGAGAAAAGAGTTGCATTCCTTCTCTTTTCTTTTTCTCTTGTTCCTCATTCTCACTCCAGCACTTACAGGGACACTCCTATGACTGATTTGTTTTTTGCAGAAGAAGTAGGCAAGGAATTACTTAGCGTTCTTTTATTTATCTGTTTTACCTGACTTAATCCTGTAATACAATGGTATATTAATAAAATGAATAACATTTGAAATTGGTCTTGTTTTAAATAATCCCAGTCAGGCTACAATCCTATATTTTATTAAGAAGTGTGGCCATCAAAAAAACATTGGAGCACAGGTTTAATTTAACTCAACTTTTATAAAGACAGAAGTAGACACAAAAGTGAAAAACCTTGGACATTAATTGTAATGATAATGTGCACGTCAAATTACCTATATTTTCAAAAGTAGTCATATTACAAACCAAAAAAAAATAACATAATGCACATGATTATGGCAAATACTGAAAACACATGAGAACCTTTGGATATTATAAAACATATTATGTGTAACAATAAAAGTAGACAAGGCATCATAGGGACCCCAGCTTATTAAAACGTAAAATTTATAACTGTAGCCTAAATAAAAGCAAAAGTTGAAAAAAGAATTACTTACTAAATACTATATTTTATTAAAATATCCAATTAACTGGGTATATGTCATCTGACGGCAGATGTTTCATGTTGGTTGAGAATTTATTTTCGTTATCATTAGCTTGCTCCAGAATGCTTCTAGCAAGTCTTGAAACTTGACAGAATTGCATCTGGGAACTTGGGAAGTCATTTATGAATTTTTAAATCCTGTGTGTCCAACTCCAGTCCTCAAGAGCTACTCTCCTGTAGCTTTTAGATGCATCCCTATTCCAATACAGTTGAATCAAATGATTGGATTACCTCTTCAGCATGCCATCAAGTTTGGCAAAGGCCTGATAACAAGCCATTCATTTGATTCAGGTGTGTCAGAACAAGGATGTGTCTAAAAGCTGCAGGACAGTAGCTCTCGAGGACTGGAGTTGGACACCTCTTTCCCCCACCTGGAAGTTGTGTTTCTATGACCTCTTATCCTGTTGTCAACTCTGCAGTCTTGGAGTAACCAGTCTCTCTCTTCTGTAGTGTCTCTGCAATGGCCAAAAGTCTACAAGAGTAACTTGCTTGCATAACATAAACATAACCTGGCAAAACATCTCTGAGTTGCAAACCTGCTAGTCAACAGTTTTGATTAAAACAGTAGATGATAGTTATAATAGGTTAAATAAGACTCCCAGTTTGATACTAAAAAGTAATAACTCCTAAGATGGCACATTTTTGGGAAACGGTTCAAATGTGTTATGTATTCAGTGGAAAATTCCAAGACTTAACTGAGATTTTGTAATGTGTGAAAGACTAGTGCTTTTAATTACACACTATACAAAAAGCACTGGTTTTGAGGCTTCCTCTTATTTGGTGTGTGCAGAGCCTGAGAGCGAGCATCTCAAGATCAAGAGCTGCTAAGCCTTCCTAGTCACTTAGTTTCAATTCCTATAAGCGTATCCATTAATGCTGTCAAGAGCACCCACAACACGTAAATACTCATCAAAAAAAAGCCAACATCTCAACAAATTCATTCAAGTCCTGTACAGCCAGATGTGTTGTTATATTTTATCTTCTTTAGGTTGATGTGTTGTAAAGTTTCTAGGTGTCCAGAGCCTGTTCATTGAGCCTGAAAGTAAGAAAACTAGTGCATTAATTAAAATTATTCAATTAAAGTGTGATTTATATCCACAGAACATACTCACTCGGGAGCAGTCTTGTTTCTCAAGTCCACAACATCATAGGGGTGATGGTCCTGCTCTTGTGGTTGAAATGGCTGAATAGTGGAGTAGGGAGTCTCTGATTTATTCTTGGACAAGCAGATTTCACTGTAGTCAGGTTCCTCTTGAGCTGAGAAGCTTTCATACTTGAAACCAAAGTGTAAGTGATGCAAAACAGAACAAACATTTCAAATTAAGTGGTGAAAAAGAGGAGTGGGAGGATTAAATGTGGAAAAGACTGTCCCTATACAGAAGCAAGAATATTAAATGTGTATTAAATGTGTTTTCTTTACCGTGGAGTTCTCCATTGTTTCATTTCTTGACCTCTTTTTTCTGGTCAGTGAAACAGATGAATATAGAAACAGGTGGGGCCAGGTTAGTGTGTGAACTTGAGATTGAATCTGCTTGATGTGAGAGACAAAACATTGATGTTCACCTGATCAAACAGAAGACAGTGAGAAGTATTAAAACCAGCAGAGCTGCAGAAACTCCTGCAGCTGCTGGTGTCCATGTTCCTGTGATACTTTGGACAGTGAGAGTCTTTGGAGCAGAGCTGATATCTTTGTTGCTTTTCACAGCACAGGAGTAGCTTCCTGCATCCTCCCTGCTGACTGGGTCAAGGATCAGATGTTTGTTCTGGCTCTGTCTTGGGGTCAGAGGTCGACTGTTCAAGTACCAAATGTAGTTTGTGTTGTCAGTCAGAGGACAGCTGGTACTGCAGGTCAGTGTGACTCTCTGACCCTCTGTCACCACTGCAGAAGGACTCATCTTCACTCTCAGCTCTGAAAGAGAAACATTGGTCAAAAAAAACTATTTTATAGCAAATCTCTTCTGTGGCTTATGCATTAAATGTGAATTTTGAATAACAACAAAATGATAAATGGAGTGGTTCTTATATAACACTTTTCTACTCTAATTTGAGCACTCAAAGTGCTTTACACAACTTGTGCATTCACCCATTCACACTTTTTTTTCTACCATTTCTCAGTGCTTCATAACTAACATCCACATATATTCATACTCCGATGGATGCATTGGAGAGCAACATGGGTTTAGCATCTTGCCCAAAGATACTTGGCATGCAGACTGGAGCAGACTAGGATTGAACCACCAACCTTCCAGTTAGTTGGTGACCTGTTACAGCCACCCTGTAACATATGATACATTACACTGTATTATTATTTTTTTTTTAACTAAAATGAAACCAAAATGCAGAAGCAGTGTGTTAAAAACTAGCAACATTTTATGATTATAGTATAGCAGCAGGTAGTAGCAGTAACATCTATAATAATTGTACAGAAATAAATCTGACTACTTCACGGATTTCCCCTATCGCGAGTTAGTGCCTGCCTTTTGCTTAGTATTTTTTTGGAATAAATAGAGGCACTGATATGCCATGTGTTGTTGTTTACCTCAGGTTACATTTGAATGAACATTATGCATAAGTTCCTATGGTCTCACATCTGTCCACTTCCAGGTGCTGCCAGCTAAATCTAAGCTTTATCACTCACACTCTCCCACACTGTCAACCTGTGCCATCACTGGTCTTGTCCAGTCACCTTCTCCTGGCCTTCTCCAGGCCAATCAGCATTCATGCTTCATACATTAAATTTCATTGCACATCTGTCATTCTCCTTTGCAAATGCCTTCACACAACCCACCTCCCCTGCATCTCTAACACGCAAGCACCCAAGCGCCATTCGAGCCACCTTCTTCACCTCTACAATCAGAGTCTAGGCTCTGATACAGACTGAGCAGCATTATTCTGAAGATTTTCACAATTTGTGCATGCAGGTGAGTGAACTTCTGCCCATTTTTACATGTGAGAAACTCTACGTGTTCTTTTTATTTCTTATTACAGACCTGTTGCCATTGAAACTAATTAGCTGCAAAATTTCCTCCAATTTGCTTTTCTCTTGCCCCATCCCAACATTTTTGAGAAACATTTCTGGCATGAAATTCATAAGAAAAATATATTCTTATATGTTTGATTTGTTTTCTGTGTTATATTGTGTGATTTTTACAAATCACTGCATTGTGTTTTTATTTAGAATTAATTCAGATTTTATAATAAAGAATAATATAGCAGAAACATTTTTGCCTGGCTAAAATAGTTTCTTCTTTTTTCTTTCCTGATCATACTAACATCAGAACATGCATGGGTGAAAAACAAGAAGACGCTATACAGGAAATGCAGAGTTTCTACCTCAGGTAGTGTTCAGAAACAAAATTAAGTCAGCATTAACATAGCATAAACATTTTATGAGTGGATGAGAAGGTGGTTAGCACTATTGCCTCACACCTGGTTCAAATCCAGGCTTCAGTCTCTCTGCATGATTGAGCTGTGTCTGTGTGAGCTACTCTATCTCACAAACATGGATTTGGCCAACTGATGAAATTAACCATAGGCATTATGTATTATGCCTTAATCAAGATATGTCAGAAGTACAATATTTGCCTTTTTTGCACTTAAAACATCACTGTAGTATGGGTAGTGCATATATAGTGCAAAATTCACAAATACACAACAGTACCAGTCCCATTGTATCGCGCTCCGAATTAGAAATTGTCATTCATGTATTTGTTTCATCTTGCCTGGATTATTGTAATTCTTTGTTTACTTGTTTATGTAAAGCCTCTTTGGAGCATCTGCAAGTTGTTCAGAATGCTGCTGCAAAGCTTCTGACCAAGTCCTCCAAGTACTCCCATGTCACACCCCTACTGATTCAGCTGCACTGGCTCCCCGTTAAATTCAGAATCCACTTTAAGGTTTTGACTTTGACTTTC